TTTTTTTCTCGGTAAAATTACCATTTATGGAATTGGTAATTTTACCTAGAAATCTGGGTAAAATTATTGAATTTTCTCGGTAATTTTACTGGACCTTGGTAAAAACGTCAATATTGTTTATTCACTGTGGTAGAATTACCGAGATAAAATGGCAAAGTTACCGGGAACTGATTACCAATCAAAATGGTATTCTTACCTAAAAAAACAGTAAAAATTCCGATTTTTAGGTAAGCTTACCGGTCTGTCTTGATAAAACTACCAATAATTGGTAAAAAAGTGAGATGGTAAAGGTACCAACGGACCTTGGTAAAAACGCCGAGAATTTTTTTTTCAGTGTAGACTCTGAAGACAAGGCCTGTATCACAGCCGTATACGTAACTTGTTTTCGCATTTCTTCGAAATTTCACAGGGAAAATGATTCGCAAGGCGAAAAGTCTGAAAATCAACTTGTAAACAATAAACAAGTGTCCGCAATGATTAACATCGGCAGGACGGCAAAACTACAAATGACGTCATTAACGTAGGTAATCTAACTCTCATTTGATCTTTGTTGAGAATATAACTCGTTAAACAGTCGATTTTCGAAAATCACGTTGTGTAAATTGTTTTGAACGATTCATTTTAAGGAGGAAATATAAGAATTTTTTCTATTTCAGACCTCGTCTAGTGATTTAGACATAGACAATACAGCCCAGTCTCACAACGTCACGAGAAAATCAAAACGGGCACCGTTGGCTATTGGCAATTTAAAAAAAAAAAAAGAAATCTTTCATTTTTCATCCGACATCGGCCCGTGCCTTCCTGATTTCCAAATGAAGTTCCATTAGTAAAATCATACTTGTTGTATGTTTGTATTTGAAGAAGTGCGTCACGTAAAAAGAGTACACATTTTAAATTTTGCGCGAAGTTGTTCTACTTGGGAGGCTCATCTTTATCAAATAATTTTTGTTGACGTATATGTTTTGAGTCTGAAAGCTAAAAAACGGACAATTTTTTGCGCAGATTGGGAAATTAGAAGTTCCGCAGGACAAAACCTTTTAATGTGCTCATTATAAATATTCAGTGATTTCCCAGTAAGAGGATTTGTATTTTTCCAATTATAATGCAAATTTTAGACAGCTCCATTTTTAAATAAAAGAAGAACCAGCATTAATGATTCTGTTTGAGGAAACTTTGTAAATGCGTCAGTTTCGAGAATTTCGCGTGTTTTCTGACGTTGGAGCTTACCTATGTAGCAGCCGAAATAGAAATCCGTGACGTTCAACGTCCAAAATCAACTCGTGTCAGTAATATCGTTCCTCGAAATGGTAATTCACCGCGTTAACAAATACAAACCTAGAATTCTTTGGAGTCAATCATTTTCAAGCTTCTAGAAAAAAAGAAATGTATATGTTAAAAATAACTTTTAAGAGAATATTATTTTTTGTCTTACGAATCCATTTTGGATATTCTAGAGTAATAATTACAAAAGGTATATACTTTAAGTAAGAAATGTGTTGGAAAAACTCTGGAAATGTCGACTACAGTTTTTTAACTCGTAAATTTTTTTGACCAAACATATTCAGTAACTCTTCAAAAAAGTGGGAAAAAATCTTCACAAAATAGATTTGTTTCCATAATTATTTACATGCATAAAAGTCGCTCCTTCAGATCAGCAAAATAACATAGACAATGTGTCATTCAATGATAATTTTTCTAGTTTCACTAAGCTCTTCCAAATTTCTTCCAAAAGTTTCTTGTGAAATTTTGTTGTTAGGCAACAAATTTCTACGGATTTGGGTGTTTCCTGGGAAATTTTAAAATCTCCTAGTGCAGATACACGCAAAAAAAGAAAAAAAAGAAAAAAAAAACCGCTCTGGTGTTCTGCAACACCCAAACGCCAAATGTGCCTATCTTTTCAGAGGCATTCGGGTATAACTGACAACGCAACATTATACATTTGTCAACGCCCTGCCGCCATCCTTTTATGAGATGCGTCCCCGAATGTAAAAAATATCCAAATGGAGATTCCTGAAAAACAATTTTTTAATGAGTTTTTTAAGGTGCTTTTCACCGATCATCGAGGGGTGTCTCAAATTGATTTTTCACAGTTTAACCTCAATGTAGTGTTAATTGAACCGCGTATAGCAAAAATGAGCCAAAGCCACATGAGCTATTGTCAAATTTAGCAGGGCAATTTTGTTTTTTACAGGTGAACTTTCTTGCAGAATTCTGTGAAAATTTTATGATATTTGCTTCGCACTATGCAGATTTACTGAAATTTGCACACAAATCCATACGTTTATCGTAATCTTTGATGAATCCATTTCCGAATTCCTATATTCGTCCCCTCTCTCATTCCGTTTGTTCCTTTGCCGTACCCCATATTCTCCGGTCAATTCCAATTTATAATCTGTGCAATCATAGAGAGAGAAAAGGAGGTGTTTGCATTTCGGGCATCTTGGAATTTCTTTGATGACGTAGGTCGGTACAGCGACGTTTATCATCGATTTTCTTGGAAATTGTGTAATTTATGGAAAAAAGTCATTCTATAAAAAGTGCTTGAAATTATATCATGAGTTGATTCAAGAATAAAAATGGGACATTATAGTCCGTTTTTCATACTTCAAATTCCGGATTTCGCTGGCCAGGTTGTACCGACCTGCGTCACAGGGTAAACAAACCTCAAGATGCAAACACCTCCTTTTTACTTTCTCGCTCCCCAGGGGTAGAGGAAGTATTGTCATCTTGCAAGGGGGAAAGAAAAAGTTGAAATTTCATCATTTCTAGACGTTTTAAGGTCCCAGGAGTAAAAATATTTTTCTCTATTTTTTTTTTTTTTTTTTTTTTTTTTTTTTTTTTTTTTTTTTTTTTTTTTTTTTTTTTTTTTTTTTTTTTT